AACATATATAAACATAAAAAAAAAATTTCAGCTGAAAATCCCATTTTAAAACCCTCAAACACAAAGACTAGAAATAAAATATAGTTGATAACCTTTTCTCATCAAAAGCAGATGACCCCAGAAGCCACTGTCCCTCTTTTAAATAAAAGTCCAAGACAGTTTTGGGAAGAGGGAATTTTGGAGTTTCATTAGCTAAAAGACTAGGAAGACTTCTCCCCAGAGAGGATTATGAGGCTGATTTTGTAGTGCAGAGCTACATGTGGAAAAACCCTAGTTATAACAACATTTCCATGCAAATCAAAGAGACGAAGACCTAGATATTTGGGTTAAAAATCAAAGGAAAGAAGAATCATATATAAGAGGCAAGAAAACCTCTTTTCTAAATGGTCTGGTATTTATTAGTATTTTCATCAGAGAAATCCAAAGTCGACCACATTGGAGGTATTCTGGAATTTCAGCCCGTCTCTTAGACTTTAATCTTCAAAGCCTTGGCTTGTCATACTGGACCAGGTTTGCCCAGGTGATAGACCTACAGCTGGGACAGCAAGGGTGCTGACAGAGGAACCCTGTCCTCCTATCTGGGACCTTGTGGTGAGAGATACTGATATAGACAGTGCAAGGAACAGAATATCTCAACCTCATCAGGAAAACTGTACATATCTATGATTTGGCCTATGTCATAAGCATCAGCATACAAAGCAGAAATGAAGGCCACCAGCCTCTCCAACTGAAGATTCTGCTTTTGGCAATCACTTGTGGTACTCTCAGTAAAGGTACAGCCACATGCCCAATTGGAAGGATCAAAGGACAGAGATAGAAAGGAGCTGCAGAAATCTGAAACCACAGGAAAAAAAGAGTAAGGATTGGTGGATATTCTGAGTGAAGTGGGCATAGTCTCAGCTGAAAGAATTTGGTTTGGTTGCTTTGATGATTGCTGCTGCTGCTGCTGTTGCTACTTCCGCTGCTGCTTCCTCAATTCGAATCGTCCGTTCCTGAACCAAACCTTTACTGTTGACTCTGGTAGGTTGAGTTTCAAAGCTAGTTCCTTCTGGAGATTTTTATCTGGGAACATGGTCTGGCCAAACAGAGCCTCCAACTTTTCATACTGTTCTTGAGTGAATGTGGTACGTTCTTGGTGTTTCTTTGGCATTGTGGGACTAGCTGGATCCTGTGGTAACACCACGTTCATGCTGGAATCATTCATGTTGATAAAAGGGTCTGGCTGGGAAATCTCTGGGGCCATTCTGTTCATCAGGATTTCTGAAATCTGTCATGAATTCCCTTGGAGTGTCCATTTGCAACCCTGCTTGGTGTGTCTCTCTAGATTTTTTAACTTCTCTGTTGCAGAGTAACACTGTGAAAAATGTGCCTATTATCTTCCCATGGGGGAGAAAAGCGCCTTATTAGCTCCGTCTTTCTGCTGACTGCAGCCCGTGAAGCTTCATTCACCAGGGCAATTTCTGAGGTTGAAGCCAAAGGAACTTGTGGGGAATAGCAAGAAAGTTCTTTGGCATTTTTCCCAGCAGAACTACCACGCTACAGCATAGCCTTTGGGATTGGCAGGGCCAAGAAGGGGAAGAAAAAGTATTCTGAAATTGCTTTTGGGAATTATGTAATTTTATAATTAGAGAATTAACATATTGGTCGATGACAATTCTGATCCTTGGGGACAGATTGAATGATATAGAGTCTATTTCTTTAAAAAATCAGAAAGCAACATCTTTAGCACGGATGCTCTCATCCCATGTCCTTTCTGATATCAAGCCTTCCTTTTGTGACTTGAGCTTGAATTATTTTCTCCCTCTGCTGAACTCAGATCATGTATCACAATATAACTCATTTAATACAGAAAAAACTATTTCTTCGCAACAGGTTTTATTGCCATCTTGCACTATTAGTCAATATCCTTACTGAATATATTTATATTTGTTTGGATAGTGGATTGCAAGCTACTAGAGGGCAAAAGCTGGGCTTATGCTACTTGGTCACACTGCCCAAAACCTGGTACCATATCTTGTGACAAGTGGTAGTCAATAAATGTTTCTTGATTTTGGTTTGACTTTCAAAATACTAATTAGGAAAGGAAATAACTGCCAGGGTCAATGCCTCCAACAATCTCAAAATCAGCTAAAACGTCTTGTGCTCACCACATTCCCAGTCTTTTATGAGGACTAAGGGGTACCCTGAGGGTGAACCAGACCTAGAAAATCATAAACTTATGTATAAGTATCCACAATCAGTGGCTCTAATAAAAGCTAAGTATCTCCATATAGAGAGTATAATGTAGTTTTAGGAGTAAAGCCTTCTAATGTGTACACGAGTCAATGTTTTGAGTTTTCAGCTTGTGAAATAAAATTTGGGTATCCAAAACCAGAAAATTATAAGCATTTTCCAAAA